AAAAAAAAAAAAAAAAAAAAAAAAAAAACAATTATAAGCCTAATAAATTTCCGCCGATTTTTTCCTCAAGAAACACAACGAGGATGTAGCCGCTATCTCTCTCTTTGACGAAGGCGGTGTTTTACACACGCACACAGACACACACATGCATTCATATACATACACACACACACACACACACGATGTTGCAATTGTAGCGAACAGAAATTGTTCTGAACGTAGTTTCGCGTAAAAACGCGCTACAAAGTAACTGTATGTATGTAAATGATGGAGTATAATTAGTTTACGACTATTAAGAAAAAAAAGAGAAAAACGGGACTGAATGAGTAATGCAAGAAAGAGAGAGCGAGAAAGAGAGAGAGAGAACGAGAAAGTGTGAGTGCATTTAGCCTGCTATACGTGTATATAGCCCTCAAGTGGAACTATTGCTATTTGCGTGATATAGATTTATTTTGATGTTATCTAGATGTATACGGAAAGAAAGAATGATGAATATATCTGTCTCGCGAGTGAGTAGCGTGCGTGTTTTTCGTGTGGATGCGCGACTAATAAAATCGCGTAAAAGCGTAGCAAGGAGTCACCATCTAATTTACGTATGTAATTAATAAATATCCTGGGATTTCGAATTCCTTATTCAGTGTACTTAGACGTGCAGTCAATATAGGCATATATATTGAACTGTATAACAACATGGAATCGTGTCTTTATTTCTTTCCCGCTAACCGAAGTGAAGATCCGACTCGAATTCCGCGAACCTCCATTCCTGTTTTTTCTACGTCGCGAGGAAAAAAACAAATCAGAATTTAAATTTCAAGCGTTCGCGTAATAGCGAAATATAAAAACCTTCCGTTTCTTCTTTTTTTTATTTTTTTTTTTTTGCTCTTTCGAACTGATCCTGCGAGCTGAACAGATTTTTCATCGCAAAGCTGGAAGTACGGATCGACGATTGAGGTAAGTGTTAATTCCATGTAATTTAACGCGTATCGTTATTTTTACTCTTCACTGTTTGATCTTAAAATATCGACGCGATTCCACTGTTTAATATTTTGTGGAATCGCGTCGACAAAAAAAGAAAAAAAAGAAACCAAATTCTAGAGAAGTCTTCGGACTTGTCGGACTTGATTAGCATATCTTTATTTTACCTGTTTTCTTTTTTTTTGTCGTAATTTCCGTCACCACAGACGGCCTTCGGCAAAACGCCTTTCGCGGAGAAAAGACGGCAGCCGCGCCACGGTCGGTCGGTAGAATCGTTAATGCGAATTTTTCCCGGTCATTAAACTTTTTGCCGAAGCGTCCCGGTGGTGCGGCGTGACGTCGATTACCGATTAAAGTCCGCCAAGTTTGCGCGATCGCGACGAAATACCGTAATCACGCACGTTTCTACTCGTGTCACTCTCTGGCACAACTGTGTAACGTAGACGGGCGTAAAGTCCGCTTTGGCACACGAGTTGAAACATTTGTTTCCGCTGCTTCGGTTAAAATTAAATTTATCGCGAGGCTCGATCACCGACAAAAGTTTGAAAAATCGAAACAAACGAAGCGACTCTCTTCTTTTTCGAAATTGTGCGCAATTTGATTCAGAATTTTCACATACCTGATGAAATATTTTTACAAATTTATGCATTTTGCTGAAGTGACGGTACGTTCTCATAATCACAAAAAAGTAAAAAAAAAGTATCGATCAAGGCTACGTTGTGTAAGTGACGGAAGACCGATAATCATCGTCCGGACGAGCTTTCGAACGCGGCGGTGTTATCGCATAATTTCTACGCCGCAACGCGTGTGTACGCAACGCGCGGAATCTCGGCCAGAGAGCGAGACACAATCAATTTTTTTGTCGTTCGGCAAATAAAACTTAGCGCACACGTTAGTGTATACAGGCGCGCGTGCACGTATAATGGATCAGTTTCTCTGCCGCGTAGATCAGATTACGTGATCGCGCAACAATTACGGCAATTTATAGACGAGAGATCAACGCGACAATGCCGTGCGCCATCGTTCTCAGCGAGTAAGAAAGAGAGAAATTTGCAATATCGACGACTCGATTTTGCGCTTATAGCGTGTTCTCTCTAAGGACAAAAAGGTTATCGATATCTTATACGATTTTTATGTTTTTTATACATCAATAAATGTGAGATTTTTGGGTTAAGTTTTAGTAATTAATATTTTTCTATATATGTAATATATATA